ACCCAAATATGAGAATTAAATAGGAGTTATGTGCTGTGCAAAGGACATTGGAGATTTGGAAGGTACATACTGTAGGTTCTAATATAACAGCTCTAATATAACTTTATAACCTGGTAAAAAGGAACGCAGTCCAGGAGTGAGCCCCATGACACTGAGACTCAGGACTACATCCACAAGTTCTGGCACCTCACAATTAGTGAATGTTGGCCTGCTCAAACCACAGTGGTGCTCAAGATGTTATGCATCTTCACCAGCTCTGAAAGGACACTGTACAAGCTCTCCCAGGCTCCATGTAATTTCCTTGAATATATGTTATTTTTTAGATCTTATATCACCATCTCTTGCTCAGTTCATGTGTAGCCACATTTTGAGGGAGAGATTCTTGGACATCTGTGCCAATTTTGCAAACCAATATTGCATGCCAATTTTTGTCATTACAGCATGTTCAATTCAAACACACTGTGCAGACCAGGGGGACGTATCCACTTCTGTGTTAAGAGCTGGACAGAGTGGATAGAGTGGAATAGAGTGCAAAGAACTGCCTCTGAGAAACAGCCATGATCAGGTTGAGAGCTGGTGAGTGAAAATCAGGGACCAGACCAATAAAGGACATCTGGGGCTCTACTACAGCTGTCTGATCAGAGGAGCCTGTGGATGAGGGCTTATTGCTTCAGCTGCAGGAAATGTGCCTGCAGACCCTCATCCTGATGGGGATTTCAAGCACTTCAGTGGCTGGGAAAGCAGTGTAGCAGTCTTTAAGCAATCCCGAAGACTCCTGGAGTGCTTTGATGATAAGGAGAGATGAGCAGTGTTTCTGAACTTGGTACTCATTGACAGAGAGGAGCTCATTAAGGACGTTAAGATTGGAGGCCTCTCTGGGCTGTAGTGACCATGCTCTGATGGAATTTGTGATCTCGAGGAGGATGGTCCTGGGAAAAAAACAAAGTCAGGACCTTAGAGTGAAAGCTTCAGACTATTTAATGGATTACTGAGTCGGATCCCCTGGGAAGCTGTCCTTAGAAACAAAGGAGCAGGGGAAAGCTGGCAACTCTTTAAAGATGCCTGTCTGAGAGCACAAGAGCTCTCTGTCCCCAGTATAGGAAAACTAACAGAGGAGGCAGGAAATCTGCATGGCTGGGCTAAGACCTGCTGGTCAAACTGGGGGATAAGGACACGTACAGATAGTGGAAATTGGTGAGGGATGTGGAAAAACAGAAAGAATTCTAACGTGCATTAATCAGAAGGGACAGGCCCTGGCACAGGATGCCCAGAGAAGCTGTGGATGCTCCATCCCTTGAGACCTTCAAGGTTGACTGGGGGCCCAGGAAGCCTGGTCTAATGCATATCAACCCTGCTAATGGCAGGGGATTGGAACTGGATCACATTTTAGGTCCCTTCCAACCCAAGCTATTCTGTGATTCCATAACTGTGATATTTGTGAGGAAATGAGAAAGAGAACTTTCCAGCTTTAAGAAGACAAGAAATGAAATTTCAGCACAGCTTGGCAACCTTTGTACTCATTTACTGCGTTGCTTTTCTCACCAGATTGCAACATAGCCCAGTAGATGCAATACCCAGTCTCCCACAGTTGACAGCAGAGTTTGTTATTCACAGTCCTGATGTGAGTCCTCTAAATAGACCCCTAATTTTTTCCTCCTTTCTGCACAATGAAATTGTTAAAATGGAAGAGTTATACTCCAGTGAAAGAAATGCAAGTGTAAAATGCATCTCAGCACTGTGAACTGCAGTTAGTGGTGGTGAGCTCTCCTTGGATCCAGATTCAAAAAGAGCCCTTTGAATTCACCAGGAGGGGTAAATAAAGGCACAGAAGGTGTCTCTGCTCTTCCAGGTCTCTCTCTGTAACTTGGTCTCTAAGCACCCATGAGCAAGAAATATAAGAAAATAAGAAATCAGCAGTTTCACTACCTTTTAGTCAGCAGTCAGTTCATAGTTTTGGCTTCTTCTCTCCTCTGGGGAAAGAAGAAGGCTTATGAGGGAAATTAATCAGCTTTTTTTCATGCACTTTCATAGCCTGAAGCTTGAAAACATAAGGAAGAACACAGTAATATGGAGAAATTGTAGAATATCGCCTTCGTGGCCTTCAGCAGTAATCATAACATCTCTGTCTCTTGCAATTTTGTTTAACAAGGATGAAAATTGCAAAAGTCAGCATGTTTTCCCTACAACTGCACTCCACACCATGCACAACTGCTTTCTTTCCATCTCCAAGCCTGGAAGAGACAGGGATGCTGAGCACCAAAGCTCCTTTTCTTAGAACTTGTTGGGACATTGTGCTTCTTGGGGGAGCCTGTGTAACACCAAAGGAAACAGAAAGTCTTTATCCAACCCCCCCCTGCAGTGATTAAAAAAATAACATTTTGATAAAATATTTTGATAGATGTTTTAATGAATGATGAGATTTTAAAAATAAGCCATTCCTGGTTGTCACTGATGACAAGGAGATGGCTCACAGCTGGGTTTAAGGATATTGTTCAGAATCTGAAAAGCACCAAGAAGACTGTCAGAGCAAGGCTGGTTTCAACATGATCCCATAAAACAGTTCCAGAGACCTGAATCACCAGATCCTTAATATAACTCTTAATATAATAATATTATATATGTATAATATTATGTATATTACAATACTAAATTATAATAACTTCATATAACTTAATATATTGATATAATAGGATTTTGCAGTAACCCACCACCATTCTGAAGAAGAGTCTCTGTTTTCAGGAGGCATTACACTGCTTTATCTGCGCCACTCACATCCTTTGAGGAGGAGAAACACTATGAATAGATTAGGATTAATAAAAAATAATTGAGACAAATGGCACTAAATCACTGGCCTTGCCAGTAACCCATTCAAGAAATTCTGAGGGCACAAAGAGCAGCTCTCTAACTCTGCACCGTCCCATAAGGATCCCATGAGGGCAGCCTGAATGGCAATAAGCATGCGGTGAAAGACTTTCTTTTCAGCATTTTCATGCAGTGAAAATATTAAGTATTAATTTTGCCATTAATATCTGAGGTCTGAGAACTTTCTCCTGCTGAGAAAGCGAGCTTGGAATCCAACATGTCTGCTCGTTTCCCTGGCAATGGGCAGGAAATCAGCTATTTCTTCCAAACACGAAGGTCTGGAAGCTGAGCAAAGCTTGTAAATAACTTTCATTCCTCAAGGCACATTTTTTCCAAAAAGCAGCTTTCCAAAAGGGATGATTGTATCCCTGCCTGCCTCACCTCATGGAGAGACAAAGAAAAGTGGATGCTTTGTCTTTGCCCAGAGGTCTGGTCTTTGACTGGGGACATTCAGGGAGCAGAACTCTCTGTGGGTGATTTGGGAACACTTAAAAGCTTGAATTTATGTTGCACTGTGTCTTGGTAATGCTGTGGTCCTCCCAGCTGTAGCTCTCCACCTGATCTATCCCAGTTTTATTCCTATCTTCTTTCTGCTATTACAGCCCACCCTAAAACAGGAACCCTAGAGCTGAGTCTAGGGGTCCGTGAGGCTTTCCCTATCCTGGCCCCATAAGGTCAGTGCTGCTTTCACCATTTACAACCATTCCAACTTGCAGCTGATGCCAGGTGTTCTTGCACAGTTGCACTCCCCCAGAGGTCCTCAGGACCCTCCTGTGGATCACGTGGGGCACATCCATCCCTTGTGGAGCTCTCCTTTAATCCTGCAGCTCTGCAGCCCGGCTGCATCACCCCCTCTTACTCCTCTTTGCACATAAGGGAGCAAATCCCAGCGAAAGGAACTGATCAGCACAATCTAGGAGGTGGCTCAAGGAATCATCACCTGCAGCATCCTGCACCTCCATTGCATGTAGCATCAGCAGCCTCCTGCTGGTTCCGCCCCAGTGACTGAGGAGCAGTAGGTCACATCTTTGTGCTTGACATTCTTGTGTATTTTGCTTGGCACTCACATTCATGCAGATCATAGAACGGCTTAGGTTGGAAGGGACCTCAAGAACCATCAAGCTCCAACCCCCCTGCTGCAAGTAGGGCCGCTAACCTCCATATCTGATACTAGACCAGGCTGGCCAGGGCCCCATTCAACCCAGGTCATAGATCTCTTTTGGTAGGTCTGTCTTTGTGCTGCAGACACCTCCATGCAATACTTGTTGCAAACATTCCCTTGCCCACTGAATGTCACTTCCCATGCAGGCTGCAGCATGATGAGCCATGATGCTCAGGGGGGATTCTGCACCTGCAAAGCCAAGCTGCATGGGATGAACTCAGAAACAGATTGCAGGAATCCACCCCGTCCTTTTGGTTGCAGATGGTTTGTGGGCACCTCACCGGGATTTGGGCACTGAAAGTTGCAGAGGTGAAATCTCAGCCTGTGAAGCCTCAAATTAATAAGCTTTTCTGCAGGATGAGAGATTTTCCTGCAGCCTGGCGTCGCTGCCTGCAGGCCCAGAGCCCTCAGGCTGTGATTTAGGAGAGGCAGGTGTAAATGAAAAGCATCCGCACGCATTTCGGCTACCGATCTCAGGCGCCTGGTGTGCAGCCCAGCTGCTGGGCTCTGCCTCCGCGTCCCTGTGCTTCCTCTGTCCCCTTCCTTCATAGAATTGTGGAATGGCTTTTGTTAGAAAGGACAGTAAATATCACAGAATGGCTTGAGTCGGAAGGGATCTTGAAGGTAATGGGATTATACAAAGGTTTATATTGGAAGGAACATTAAAGATCGTAGAACCGTAAAATAGCTTGGGTTGGAGGGGACCTTAAAAGCCCATTCAATTCCAACCCCCCTTCCATGGGCAGGGTTGCCACCCACTAGATGAGGCTGCCCAGGGCGCCGTGCAATGTGGCCTTGAACACCTCCAGGAATGGGACACCCACAGCTTCTCTGGGCAACCTGTGCCATTGCCTCACCACCCTCTGACTTTAAAAAAAAAAACAACAAAAAAAAACTTCCTAATATATTGCCTGAATTTTCCCTTTTATTTTAAAATCAATCCTCTTTGTCCTGCCACTGTCTTGTGGGAAAACAGTTATAAAAAAAGGCGAAACACAGAGAGTTTTATTAAGCTTCAGCATTTCAGCTGATTTCCAGCTCCCCTTCCACTGTGCAACAGTGTTCTTGCTTAGCCTGAGATCATAAAGCTTAGTCATGGAATTCTAGCCATAGAATCACAGAGATGATGGAAAGGTTTGGGTTGGAAGAGACCTTAAAGACCATCCAGTTCTAAGCCCATTCATGGGCATGGACACCTCCCACTAGATTTCCCAAAGCCTTATCCATACTGGCCTTGAGAAATGCCATGGAAGGTGCATCTACAATTCCTCTGGACAACCTGTTCCAGTGCCTCATCACCCTCATCCCAAAAACTTTCTTCTTAATATCTAACCTAAATCTCACCTCTTTCCATTCAAAGCCATTACCCCTTGTCCCATCACTGTATTCCCTGGTAAAGGAGGGCTAAGAACATCTTAATCCCTTCAGGACCCTGAAGTCCATTCACATGCCAGCATCTTTCACATGCAGAGCCAATCCAACATGCTCTCCCTCTGTCTCTTTTGTATATCCACATCCCATCCTCTCAGTGCAAATTTTCCACCTTTGGCAGAGCCATGAATTGTTCAGAGGGAGCTGTATTCCAGGTTGATCTCTCCCTCAAGCACTAGGAATTTGCCCCACAGCTCTTCCCAACCTATCTGTGTGCCTGGAGTGCTTACATTTGTCTCCTCACCTCATTAATCCCAAGGAAATCCTTTGGCATCTTAACTAATCACAGCAGGCTGACATCCTCCTCACACACGTATGAAAGGAGTGAATGTCAGATCCATTTCTGGGTTCCCCTGCAGAACTGATGAGCAGTTTTACCACCCACCTCCACCAAGCTGTTGCACCAGCCTTAACAATTTGGACTGACTGCTCTCCTCCCATTTCTCTGTGTCCTGTTGGCTGCTCTTTACTTGGCTTTCTCTTGCTCATTTGTTGCTCGGGTGCTTTGCCATTGTATGTGTTAATAGGGTGCAAAGTGTGGGGTTGGGGTCCCTGACCTCTTCCAAATACAGCCTGAGGTGTTTCTTCTCCTCCCCCTGCCACAGCATGCTCTTGGTTTGGCTTCCTGCCCCTGATGTTCTCACCCAGGGGACCAAGTGGAGTCCAAGGCTTCCATCCCAGCCCACAAGAAACACAGAATCATAGAATGGCTTGGCTAGGAAGGGACCTTAAAGCCCATCTACTTCCAACTCCCTGCCACAAGCTGGTTGCCACCCAGGTTGCCCAGGAATCCATCCAACAGACCTTGAGCACCTCTAGGGATAGAGTAACTGCAGCTTCTGAGTGTAACCTGTTCCAACACCTCACCACCCTCTGAGCAAAGAAATTCCTCCTAACTTCTAACTTAAATCTTCCCTCTTTAGTTAAATATCATTCTCCCTTGTCCTATCACAATCAGACTGTGCAAAAAGTCATTCCCTCTCCTGTTTATAAGCTCCCTTGAAGTACTGGAAGGTTGCAATGAGATCTCCCTGGAGTCTTCTCCAGACTGAACAAGCCCAATTCTCTCAGCCTCTTTCCTTAGAAGAGATGCTCCAGCCCTCCGGGCATCCTTATAGCCTCCTTTGGATCTTCTCCACGTGCATTTGGATCCAGCTCCACTTCCATTCTGTGCTGCATTCCAAGAAGAAGAAGAAGACCCACACCCCAAGGACACCTCCATGCCATGTTGGAAATGCCAGCTAGTGGCACAGGGCCATGGCGCTGGCGGGTGTTGTGGGCACGCTGTTCCCCTCCCCATAACTGCTGTCACCGCACTCCCCATCATCCCCTGAACCCCTAGCAAGGGGTGACTGAGGGCCACCATCCACCACTCCGTGTGAATCACCATCCCCCCCTCCACGTCCATCACCATCCACCGCCCCCGGCCCATCAGCGCCATCGGTCCTATCCCTGCTGCTGGGTGCTGTCAGCCAGGGCACGGCCAGGTACTTGTGCACCTCGATGGCTGGGCTGCGGCGGTCAGGGTCGAGCCGCAGCAGGCGCTGCAGCATCTCCTGTGCCCCACACTCAAAGCCACCCCAAGACTTTGGTGCCTCCCGTCCCACCGTGTCACCCTGCCAAGCGCTGAAGGCTTCAAACTGGGGGTCAGGGCTGGCAGCTACAGCCCAAGGGAAGCAGCCAGTGCAGAGGCAGAAGAGCAGCACAGCGAAAGCCCAAACATCCAGGCTGGAGTCCAGCTCCAGTGTGTCAGAGCCCTGCAGCAAGCAGAGCTCCGGTGGAGCGTAGGGCAGCGCGCCAGACATGGCACCAATTTCCGAACCCTGCAGGCGGGTGAGCCCAAAGTCAGCCAGCTTCACACGGTGGCACTCGTGGTCGAAGAGCAGCACGTTGTCCAGCTTGACATCCCGGTGCACCAGGGCCCGGCTGTGCATGAAATCCAGTGCCTCGGCCAGCTGAGAGGCACAGCGCTTTACCAGCACCTCAGGCAGGCCCTCCTGGGAAAGGCAGCAATGTCACCAGCATGGGACACACTCCATAGCAGCCCCCAGAGGTACCCCTGCACCACAAAGGGGCTCCTGGTGCGCCGCATGAGATTGCACTCCACTGCAAAGGGTGTCCATGCAACACTCTGCATGCACTGCGTGTTCCCATGCACAATGTGGGCATGCACCATACTGAAAAGTACGTAGCTGTGGAACCCACTGCAAAGGATCTCCTCAGGAATACCAGAGGCATGCACACTGCTGCAAAGGGTGTCCCCGTGCACTGCATGAGCATCTGCCCCATTGCAGAAGGCCTCCCCGTAGATACACACCCCACTGCAAACGATGTCCCCATGCATCACACAAACATGCTCCCTATGGTAAAGAGCCCCCCCATGCACACAATTTCACACCACCGCAAGGTCCGCTTTGCTCCCCACCCCCTCCCTGTACCCACTGCAACACCCTCCCAGCCCCTTCTCCTCCCCAGCACGCTGTTGTGTCCCCCAGCCCTGAGGCACACACACCCCTGGTGTGAGCAGGTTGCACAAGTCCCCAGCGGGAGCCAGCTCCTGCCCAAAGGCAAAATGCGTGGAGTTCTCAAAGGCAAGGGGGAGGGCATGGATGCAGGCAGCGTGACCAGAAAGGCACCGTGCTATGCAATACTCTCGCAGGAAAGCCCTTCGTTCTGTCCGTTCCTTCAGCATCAGCTTGAGGACCACTGGCGAGCCTGGGATGCAGGGAGAGGGTCAGCACCAAGGTTTCGGGACCACGTACATCATGAACATGCAACTCCAATGCAAAGGGTGTCCCCATTCACATCACAAGCATGCAACCCCACTGTGAAATGGGTTCCCACGCACACGGTGAGCATGCAACTCCAATGCAAAAGATGTCCTCATGCACTACACAAGCATGAGGTGCAGCATTGGGGCAAAGACCCCACAGCTGCTCACCACCATCCCGGGGCTCAGTGAGCACCACATGGCCATAGGTTCCGCTGCCCAGCTCGCCCAGCACACAGAACTGCTCCTCCAGCTCCTGCCACTGCAGTGCCCGGCCTGCCTGCACCATTAGCTGCTCCAAAGCTGCCGCATTGTCCTCCTCATCCTCCTCCGGCTCTGCCATGGCCCTGCAGAGACCAACATCATGCTCAATGGCCCCAGGGCATGCAGAGGGAGTACCCAGATGGCACTGCCCAGTGCACACCAGTTTGGCCCAGCCTAGTGCAGCTCAGACCAATCTTGTCTAAAACAGCCCAGTCCAGCCCAGTTGAGCCCATTCAGCCCAGCGTTGTCCAGTTCATCCCACCTGAGCCCAATTCAGCCTAGTCTAATTCAGATCAGTGCACCCCAGCCCAGTCCAATCCCCGTCCAGATGTAGGGAGCATCCCAAAGGGGAACAAGCAGAGTTGTGACACTGCCCCATATCAGCCCCACATCTCACCCCATGTCACCGCATGGCAGTGGGTCAGCTCTGCCACTTCCACGTTCCTCCATCCCCAGCTGTGCAGCAGGATCTTTGACCTACTGCCACTACCAGATATACGGGACAGCAACAAGAGCCCTGTGCTCCCCCATAGCCCTGCTGCAGGGCTATAAGGAAGCCACAAGCAAAACACAGGTCGGGGTTGCACAGGGACAAGCAAGCAGCCTCACCTGAGTCCCTGAAGCGTCCCTGCAGCACAGCTTTGTGCCACCAGCCCCACGGCGCCCGTGGCCGTGACTCAGATTTTCCTGCGCACTCCGACACCGCCGGACCCAGGGCAGCGCTGGGCCGTGTTAATCTGTCCCAATGGATTGGGAACATGTGCAAGGCACAAGGCGTGCCGAGAGCCAAAGATAGGAAGGGGCAGGACAGACAGGGCACGGTGTGTGGACAGACAGACAGGATGCAAAAAGAGATAGAGCATTGCACGGGGACAGAGAGACAGCATGAGATGCAAAGAGAGCGAGGGCACTGTGTGGGGACAGACAGAGAGCATGCAGCATGGGACAGACAAACAGACAGCCAGAGCATGAAACAGCATGGAGTGAAAATTTAGCTTCTCCTAAGTCCACAGATAAGGAGGTTGTATGTCCCAGTGTTCTAAAGGTTAAAGAAAGGCTAATTAGATTAAACTCAATATTATTAAACATTGGATTACCTTTATTAATACTGATCATTGTTCTGTAAGTTTTAGTGATTTAGTCAGGCTCAGGGTGAGGGGAACACAAAGGATGCATCTGCGTGTTCCCCCTTATTCTGCTCTTAGTGTGGGCTGCCTGGCGTCCCAAAATCAAACTTGCCCCTGCTCCATGAAAAGGTGTGAGGCTGCACCAAAGACGTGGGGCTGCACCGTCTGCTTCAGAGCCCATTTCTGCCTCTCCCCCTTTTCCAACATCCTCGAATTCCCAGGCTTTCCTCCCTCACCTCCCTGTTTCCCACCACCACATCTTTCCAGTTGCCACGACCACATCCCTCTCCCCAAATTTACACATCCTCATGTCTCTCTCTCCCCCTTTTCCCATCCCTATATCCTTCCTTCTTCTCACTTCCCCCATCCACATCCTTCTCTCCCCACTTCCCCATACCCTTATACCTCCCTTTTCCCTCTTTTCCACATCCATATCCCTCTATCTTTTCTCTATCATATCCTTTCCTCTTCCTCGTTTCCCATATCCCTATACCTCCTTCTTCCAGTCTTCCATATCCCCCATCTCTCATTTCCCACAGCCCCAGTTCTTACATCCATACTTTTCCCTCTCTGTTTTCCCACATCCTTGTATCACCCTTCTCCCTTTTTTTCAACACTCATTTACCTTCTTCGCCCTCTTTTTCCATATCCCTATGCTTCCCTTTCCCCATTTCCATATCCACATTCCTCCCTTTTCCCATGCCCATATCTCTTTGCCTCCCTTTTCTTGCATCCATACCCTTCCCTTTTCCCTATTTCCCACAGCCCCATCTCTCTCTCTCTCCCCTTTTCCCCACATCCTTATGCCTTCCCTCTCCCCACTTTCCATAACCCCTCTCTCTACCATTTTCCACAGTCCTATCTCTTCCTCTCCCCCTATCCCATGGGCATATCCCTCCTCCTCCCCACTTCCCACACCCATATCTCTCCTCCTTTTCTCTTTTCCTACATCCTTATGCCTTCCTCTTCCATTTCCCATATCCACATCTCTCTCCCACCCCTTTTCTTTCATCCTTTCCCATGCCCACATCCTTTCCTCTCCTTTTAATCCTGTGGTAGTGGAAGTGGAACTAGATGGGCTTTACAGTCCATTCTTTGCCATTCTATGATTCCTCACATCCTTATCTTTCCCATCCCTATATCCTTCGTTCCTTCCCACAGTGTCATCCCTCCTCTTCCCATTTCCCATGACCATACCCTACTCTTTCCCCATTTCCTATGCCCTTTCCTCACATCCTTATCCCTCCCTCTTCCCTATTTCCCACTGTGCCATCTCTTCCTCTCCTTTTTCCCACAGCCATATTCCTGCCTCTCCCCAGTCCCCATGACCGTATCACTCTCTCTCCCCTCCCTTCCTTCAACTTTTTGCCACTCTCTCCCCTTTTCCCACACCCTCTTTTTCCCAAGACCACATCCCAGCCCATTTCCCACAGCCCCATCCTTCCCTCTCTCCCCATAGCTGTTCCCTCTCCCTCCCCACCTGCTCTTTCCCCTATCCCAGCTGCTTGCCCTGACCCCAGCTGTCTGGGCCATAATTAACCCCTGACACATAATTAACACCTGACAGCACATTAGCAGGCCCTGCTGGCACGTGGAAAGGTCACTGAGCTGCACCTCTCACCCTGTCCTCTCCAACCCCATTACAGAGAGCAGATGCTGATGGGGAGGGTGTCCCCTTGCTATGGGGCAGCGGGTGTGGGGCTGACTGCTCCGTCACCATCCTGCCCCATTGAAAAGCAACAACAGAGCCCAAAGCAGAGGCCCAGTGCCAACCCCATGGCATCCAGCCCTGCGGGGGTGGCTGGGGGCGGGGGCACCGACAGCTGCTGGGACACAGAAATAGCCAGGGCCAGGTGGCAGAGCTCAGCCTTGGGGATGCAGCCAGGACCTGGCCCCATGCCGAGCCTCAGTAGTTGAGGCCAGCCCAGTGCCCCTGGGCTTGACCCCCACATCCCTTTTTGCTGGGGGCAAACTCCACTCCCCCTTCCATAAACCCCAATGCCCCCATTGCTGAGCTGCTGCACTGCTGCCCACTCCTCCATGCTGTGACATCTGTAAACCCTGCCCCCGTTGCCCCCACTGTCCAATTATGTGCCCTCCCAGCCCCATTGCCTCACTCCCTTCCTTTCCCACAGCTCCCAATACCCCCACTCCTTGCCCTTCCACAAACCAACAGCTTCCTTCACCCCATAACCCACCTCATGGTTTCCCATTGCCCCATATCCACCCACTCGCACCCCATCTCCCCTCTGGCTGCCCCCCCAGCTGCTCCCCCAGCAGGGACTGGCCCCAACCCCACATCCCAGAGCTGCTGGCTGGGTGCCGAACCCATGCCCTGGCAGCAGGTGCCGGCAGCAGACAGGTGGCTGGTAGGATTAGCACTAACGAGTAGTTTCATAATGGGGTCAAGAGGCCACGGGGGGGAGGGGGAGACAGGACAGGGGGACTTCAGCAGCACACCTGGGCTTGCCAGGACCCCAGCACCCAGTGTGGCACTCCATTCCGGTGTCACTCCACTGCCCTAATCCCTGCAGCCCTAGGCAGGTTCCATGTTCATGGATGCTGCTCGCTTTTAATGACACTATTAAAGGAATAGGGCTGGGGTGGGGGGTGGCAGCAGATGGGGCTGAGGACCTGGATGCTTTCTGATTTTTGACCCTGCCTGGATTTAGGGGGGTCTTGCTTGTATTTTGAGTCTTTTTTGGGCTGGGAGTTCTCTTTGGACAGGGAATCCTGATTGTGCTCCTCTGTTTGTGCTCTCCTATTTGGTTTGGGGTTCTGTTTGGCTCTGGATCCTGTCTGGATGTGGGGTCTTGTTTGGGCTCTGGGTCCTTTTTGCTTTTGGGTCCTATCTAGGTTTGGGAGTTTGTATTTTGGGTTCTGTTTGGAATGAAGGCCTGTTTGGTTTCGGGTCCTGTTTGGGCTCAGAATTCTTTTGGGGCTCTGGGTCTTGTCTGGATGTGGGATCTTGTTTGGGCTTAAGGACCTGTTCTGTTTTGGGTCCTGAGTTCAGGGGTCCTGTTTATATTTTGAGTCCTGGTTAGTCTTGGGGACCTGTTTGGTTTTGGGTTCTGTTTGGACTCAGGATCCTTTTGGGGCAGGGGATACTGTTTGGGCTCTGGATTCTGTTTGGGTTTAGGTTCTGTTTAGACTCTGGGTCTTGGCTGGATGTATGGTTTCCTTTGGGCTCTGGGTCCTTTTTGATTGTGGATCTTGTCTGGTTTTGGGAGTCCTGTTTGTATTTTGGGTCCTGTTTGGGCAGAGAGTTCGGCTCAGGCTCAGAGTTCTGTTTGGCTTTAGATCCTGTTTACACTCAGGATTTGTTTGAGTTGCAGTCCTGCTTGGGCTCGGGGTCCCGTTTGGGTTCCTCACACAGATGCTGCAGGAGGGACAGATGCAGTTCCTGACACTGGTGGGGACAGCGCCATGATGCTCAGGGATCCTGTAAGGAGAGAAGACTGAGCATGGCTGAACCCTGCTCCACAGGGCCCCGCGGCCATCACCAAGCCGTGGCGGCAGCCCCACACCTGGCATACAACTCCGACATCCTCGCGATGGGTGCAGTCATGATATCCCCACGCACGATGTGCGCAGTCCTGCAGGCTCTTCTCCTGCCCTCGGCATCGGACGTCATCCAGCCAGATGTGCCCAACGCCGGGCCCGAAACGTGGCCGCTTCCCATCCATGCCCTGCGCCTCACCGCAGCCCAGCTCCCGGCACACCACAGCCGTGTTGGCCCCTCTCCATCCGTCATCGCACACCGTGCCCCAGCGCCCGGCTCGCTGCACCTCCAGCCGCCCCGCACAGCGCCTGGGCCCCCCGGCCAGCCGCAGCCTGAAGGGCTCTGCGGGGACACAGCAGTGACATGAGGTCTTGATGTGACGCGGGCCTCACTGTGTCCCTTCCAGGCCCTGCCAGGCTTCATCATGTCCCCTCCAGGCCCCACCGTGATGCCAGGCCTCAGTGTGTAGACACCAGGCCCTGCCAAGACAGGCTTTGCTGTGTCTCCACCAGGCCCTGCCATGACACCAGGCCTCACTGTGTTCTCACCAGGCCTCAGTGTGTCCCTATTAGGCCCCACCACGACCCCAGGCCTTGATGTCCTCACCAGGCCTCACTGTGTCCCCTCCAGGCCCTGCTGTGACACCAGGCCCCGCCATGATACCAGGCCTCGCTGTATCCCCACCAGGCCCTGCTGTGACACCAGGCCCTGCTGTGACACCAGGCCTCATTGTATCCCCACCAGGCCCTGCTGTGACCCCAGGCCTCCCTGTGTCCTCACCAGTCCTCACTGTCTCCCTCCCACCATGACACCAGGCCTCACTGTAACCCCATAAGGCCTCGCTGTGCCCCCGCCGTGCCCTGCCATGACCCCAGGCCCCGCCACATCCCCGCTAGGCTGCGAAGCCCGGTTCTGCCCCACGCTCACCCTCGCAGTTGACAGCAGCCACGTGGTTGGACGGACAGGACGCAGCGTCACCTGGCTGCAGCTCGCAGTGCTCCAAGTCCAGCTCCTGCCCTGCACACAGCACCTGACGCAGACCCACCGTGTTCCCCTCAGCCATGGGTGGGCTGCAGGGCACTGGGACGGCACGGGGGCGGCCGCAGCCCAGCTGGCGGCACAGGACGCGGGCAGCTGCAAGGTCCCAGCCCACGGCACAGACCGAGGCCCAGGAGCCAGCCTGCAGCAGCTCCACGCGGCCCTGGCATCGGGAATGGCCGCCGGAGAGCTGGGCAGGCACTGCTGGGGAGAGCGGGAGAGTGAAGTGTGGCCTTCCCAGTGCAGCACCAACCTGACCAGCACAGCCCCAGTCTGCTCAGTGCGGCACCAGTTTGTTTAGTACAGCGCCCAGTCTGCTCAGCACAGTCATAGCGAAGCCCCAGCCCAGCTCTAGCATGCCCAGTTCAGCCCCACACTGCCCAGTTCAGTCTCAGTCTTCTCAGCTCAGTCACAGCACAGCCCCACTCTGCCCAGTTCAGCCCCAGTCTGTTCAGCATGGTCCCAGCACAGCCCCACTCTACCCAGCTCAGCCCAAGACTGCCTAGTTCAGTCCCAGTTTGCCCTGCTCAGTCTCAGTATTCCCACCACACTCACAGTGTGCTCAGCACAGCCACACCACAGCTCCTGTCTGGGTCTCTGGGTCTCACTCCCAATCTGCCTCATTTGGCCCCAGCTCGGCATCAGCACAGCCCCGGTCTTCCTATCTTGGCCCTTGTCTGTCCAATTTGGTCTCAGTCCGCCAAGTACAGCACCAGCATGGCCCAGTCTACCCAGAACAGCCCCACTACAGCTCCAGTGTGCCCAGCTTAGTCCCGGTGTGTCCAGAACAGCCCCATCACAGCTGCAACACAACCCCAGTCTGCCCAGCACAGTCCCAGTATGGTGACCCAGCATAGTCCCTGTGTAGCCTGTCTGTCCTGTACAATTCTAGTCTGCCCAGTAGGCTGCCCAGTACTGTTCCAGTCTGCCCAGTTCAAACCATCCCACCTGTTGCCCATGCCCTGTTGCCTGCCCATCCAGCAACTGCTGTCCCCCGGGCACCCAAATGGTATATGTGGGGACATCCCAGGACACCCAGTAACCCCCCGTGATGCCCAGTGACCCCTGCTGACATCCAGGACACTCAATGACTCCAAGTAACACCCAAGTGAACCCCACTGACACCCAGTGACACCCAACATACCAGAACCAATCACGGCACCGCAGCACAAAGCTGAGGGGGAGAGAAGTAGGAGTTGGAAAGAGACAGAGACATTCACAGACCATCCAAGACCCTCAGGACCCCCCAGTCCACTGACACACAACATAAAATGTTTTCCCCCCAGTTCTGTGTGCCCCCAGCTCCGTACCCCTCCTTTTCCTTCAGTTCCACCCACCACGCATCCCAGCTTTGCCTCCCCATGTGCCTCCACCTCTGTGCCCCTCATTTGCCTCCCATCTCTACACCTTCCATTTCCCCCAGCTCTGCACCCCCCATGTCCTCACCCAGGCACAGTCCAAGGCTACGCAGCCCCCCCATGCTGGCAGCAGGGCCTCCCCAGCCACTGGGGCCACCCTTTTAACAAGGGGGCCTCGGAGGGGGGGCAAGGGGAGGAATCGAAAGCTGAGAGCAGGAACCCCGCAGCAGCCAAGCAGGCGCCAGAATGGGATGAGTCCTTCTCTCCCTCTCTCTCGCCTCCCCTCCCCCTCTTTCACCATCTCCTCCCTCTCCTTCACCTTCTCTCTCCCCCTCCCCCTCTATCTTCTCCCCCCCTCTCCCCTTCCCCCTCCCTCTCCCTCTTCAACACTCAAGATTGGTGAACCAGCCCAGCTTTATTTCCCTTGCCTCCTGTGCAAGGCCCCTCTCTGGATGCCCGCACCCCTGTACAGCCTGGGGGGGTCCTCCAGGATGTGCTGCCCCACAGCAGCCAGCCTGCCCAGGCGGCGGGTGACGGCCTCCAGGCGCTGAGCTCCCCGCCGCTGGTTGCGGGCCAGGGCCCGCAGTTGCCCCCGCAGCTCCCGCACCTCCCACAGCAGTGCCCTCAGGGCAGGGGCCACACAGGATCCCCCCTGATCCCATACTGCAGAGAGTGTTGGCACCGGTGGTGCTGGTTGGGCTGGACCTGTGGGGCGAGAAGCAGAGACCCCCTAAATCCTCTGTGTGCGTATGTTTGCTCCCCCAGGGCAACCACTCTCAGAGCAAGGGACCCCCCAGCACCCATCCCTCCTCTCTCCAAGCCAGTGGTCTCAGCATGTGCAAGCCCTGCATCTCATGGGTCCAAGCCTCACCCACAACCCCAAGACCTACCTACACACGGGGGTCCAGGCAGTACAGAGCTTGCAGAATGGGTGCGGAGGGTCTCTGTGGGTGCTGGGGGGGTCTTGGTGTTGAAAAACTTCACGGGGTGCCGGAGGGGTGCTTGGGGAGTCTGAGTGCTGAAAGTCTCCAGTGGATGCTGGACAGGTGCTGAGGGAATCTGGGTGCTGGGGGGATCTGTGAGGTGCTTAAAGGATCCTGGGGGTGTCTGGGTGCTGCGGGGCTCTTTGGGGTGTTGGTGGGATATGGGGGAGGTCTGAGTGCTGAGCAACTTCATGGGATGCTTAAGGGATGCTGGAGGGTTCTGGGTGTCAAAGGTATTCATAGGGTGTTGTAGTGTTGATGGGGGCCTCTGGGTGCTGGGGGGCTCTGTGGAGTGCTGGGGCAATGCAGGGGGCCTCCGGGTGCTGAAGATCTCAGTGGATTGTTCAGTGGGTGCTACAGGGGGCTGACTATCAGAGGTCTCCATGGGGTGTTGGGTGGGTGCTGGGGGGACTTGTGTGCTGAAGATCTCTGTTAGATATTGGGAGAGTGCTGAGGGACGCTTGGAGCTGAGGGTCTCTGTGGGATGCTGGGCAGATACTGGGGATTTCTGGGTACTGAGGGTTTTAACAGAGTCCTCAGAGGGTGCTGGGAGGCTCTGGGGTCTGGGGATATCCATGATGTGCTTGAAATTAGCAGCATTCATGTAAGGGCTGGTGGGATCTATGGGGTGCACAGTGAGTACTGGGGGGCTCTGAGCGCTGGGGTTCCTTGATGGTGTCTGGATAAAGAGGTCTGGGGGTGTCCAGAAACCAGAGGGTTCTGCAGAGGGATGCTGGGAGAGCACAAGCTCTATCGAGGCAGTGGGGCTCTCTGGAGGGTGTTGGATGGATGCTGGGTGTCCCTGGGTGTTGGGGATCTCAGGGTACTGGGTAGGTTCTGAGGGTCTCTGGGTACTGGGGGCCTCTGTGAGGTGCTGTGAGTGGGTGCCAGAGCCTGGACTCAGTTGAACAGCAATGGCAGGAGAGACAGCCAGCCCCTGGGTGGAGCTCAGAGATGGAGAGGGTGATGAAACTCTAGTGGGCAGAGCAGAGATTCCCATTGGACCAGCACCTGGGGAGGAGACACAGCCCATGAAATCCCCTCCAGCACTCCTCAGCCATCCATTGCCCCTCCTTCCTCTCCTGCACCCCTTCTGCTTCTCCTCTCCCTCTCAAACACTTCCACCTACAGCCAGCCCATTGCTTTGGCCTTCCTCCTCCTCCTAATCTATTGTTGCTACTTCATCCATCTACCCGTCCGTCCGTCCGTCCGTCCGTTCATCCATCCATCCATCCATCCATCCATCCATCCATCCATCCATCCATCCATCCATTCCCTCATTTATTGTTCCTTGATATCTTTCTATCCACTCAGTCACCCCTCCAAACTTTCTATTCTTTCTTCCTTCCCCTTTTCTGTCATTTCAAACTCTCCTTCCCCCTTCTGCCCAACCACGCAGACTTCTTGCTGTCCATCCACCCCAGCCCTCCAACACTTCGTTCTTTTCCTTAACATTACTTTCAAGATCTTGCAGCCCTATATAGTAGTCTGAACCTGATTCTGCTGTGGGAAGTGTTCTCCTCCTGATTCCATCTGATGCTAGTTCTTCCGTGGGATGAGTCCTCCACATGGGATCTCTTAGACTTGTTTCTGCTGCAATATATTTACTCTCCATTGTGCCTTTGAGAATTTTTTCTGCTGAAGGATGTTTGCTTCTCACGGTACCATCTAGATCAAAATCAGCTGAAGAATGAGTGTCCCATGCAGTACCTTCTGCATCAGATTTGGGTGCAGAACGTGTGCTCCAGGTAGAAATACCTGCTGTGGGATATGCACTCCATATGCTAACACCCAAGCTCAATTCTGCTGAAGAATGTGCACTCTGCATAGTACCATCTGGATCAAGTTCTTCTGGAAGATGTCTGGTCCATACAGTACTTTCTGGATCCAGTTCTGCTGCAGGATGTCTGCTCCTCATGGTAACATCTGGACCCAGTTCTGCTGCAGGACTTGTGCTCCTCATGGTAACATCTGGACCCAGTTCTGCTGCAGCACTTGTGCTCCTCATGGTAACATCTGGACCCAGTTCTTCTGAAGGATGTCTGCTCCTCATGGTAACATCTGGACCCAGTTCTGCTACAGGATTTGAGATCCTCGTGGTAACATCTGGACCCAGTTCTGCTGCAGGATGTGCACTCCTCGTGGTAACATCTGGACCCAGTTCTGCTGCAGGACTTGTGCTCCTCATGGTAACATCTGGACCCAGCTCTTCTAGAAGATGTGTGGTCCACACAGTATTTTCTGGATCAAGTTCTGCTGCAGGACTTGTGCTCCTCATGGTAACATCTGGATCCAGTTCTGCTGCAGGACTTGTACTCCTCATGGTAACATCTGGACCCAGTTCTGCTGTGGTCCCTTCTAGAACTGATTCTGCTGTAGGATCTGTGCTCCTCATGGTACCTCTTGGACCTGGTTCTGTTGCAGGATGTGTGCTCCCCATGGTATGATCTGGACCTAGTTCTGTTGTGGGATATGTGCTCCCCATGATACCATCTGGAACCAGTCCTGCTGTAGGACCTGTGCTCCCCACGGTACCTTCTGGACCTGGTTCTGTTGCAGGATGTGTGCTCCCCATGGTACGATCTGGACCTAGTTCTGCTGTGGGATATGTGCTCCCCGTGATACCATCTGGATTCAGTCCTGCTGTAGGACCTGTGTTATTCATGCCACCTCTAGGGTCTGGTTCTACTGAAGTATGTGCACCTCCCATGTTACCATCTGGGTCCAGTTCTGTTAGAGGATGCATGCTCACAGTACCTTCTGGACTCAGTTCTGTCATAGGATCTGTGCTTTTCATGGTACCTTCTGGAGCTGGCTCTGCTGTGGGATATATGCTCCACATGGTGCGTTCAGGACCTAATTCTGCTGTATGTTGAGTGCTCCTTACGGGACCTTCAGAACCCAGTTCTGCTGAGGGATGTGAAACCCAAGAGGTCCCTTCCAGACTTGGTTCTCCTGTAGGAGCTTCACTCTTCGTGGTACCTTCTGGATCTGCTGCTACTACTACAGGAAGTGTGCTCCCCATGGGATCCCCTGGACCTGGCTCTCCCAGGCTGTGGTTACTCCATATGGCAGCACTTGCCTGGAGCCTCGTGGTAAGAGCTAAGTCCTGCTCTGCATTGGACCTGGTGCTCTGTGTGACACCAGCAGTCTCCTGTCCCATATTGCGTTGGGTAGCACTAACAGCATCCCATCCTGCCAGCCCCTGGGTGCTCCTGGTGGAACCAACCGGAACCTGTCCTGCTTGAGGCTTGGTGCCTGGTGTGGTCCCCACCAAAACCCAATGCCTGGTGCTCTGGTTGGCTCCCACAACAACCCGCTCTGCTTTGGGATGGGCAATCCACACAGTACCAAGCGGATCCCGTCCCACTTTGGGTCGAGTGATGCGGATGGTGCCAGCTGGATCCCATCCTGTCTTGGACCTGTTACTGCCAGCTGGATCCTGTCCTGCTTTGGTCTTGTTGATGCCAGCCGGATCCCGTCCTGCTTTGGTCTTGTTGATGCCCACCAGATGCTGTCCTGCTTTGATTTTGTAGATGCCAACAGAATCCCGTCCCACCTTTGACCTGTTGGTACCAGCTGGATCCAATCTCACTTTGGTCTTGTTGATGCCAACAGAATCCTGTCCTGCCCTGGACCTGTTGATACCAACTAGATCCAATCTCACTTTGGTCTTGTTGATGCTAACAGAATCCCGTCCCACCTTGGACCTGTTGGTGCCAACCAGATCCAGTCCCACTTTGGTCTTGTTGATGCCAACTGAATCTCGTCCCACCTTGGACCTGTTGGTGCCAGCTGGATCCCATCCCACTTTGGACCTGGTGGGGCCACCAGTCTCCCGTCCTGCCTTCAGCCTGGTGATGCCAACTGCCTTGGGCTTGGTGCTCTGGATGATGCCAGCTGGATCCTGTTCTGCTTTGAGTCGGGTGATCCTGATGATACGGATGGGATCTCGCCCTGCTTTGGTTGAGGTGGCACTGACTCGACTCTGTCCTGCAGATCGTGTCATGGTGCTGGAGACACTGGTGGTAGGATCCTCTCCTGAGGATCGTGAGGTAGTGCTGGGGACACTGGTGTGTGGATCCTGTCCTGTGGCTCTTGCAGTGGTTCTAGTGACACTCACAGTTGGATCCTGTCTTTGGGGATGCATGGGAATGATTGTGGTCAGAATCTGTCCTAGAGGACGTCGAGGGATGGTACTGGCTGGACCCCATCCTGGGGGAGATGGGGAGCTCGCCACAGGTGACAAGTCTTCTGCCCCTGAAAACAGTGAGGAAAAATTCAGTCCCCTTCCCACAACCCTTCTATTTGTCGGAATCCTCCCTTTCCTCTCACCAGGGCGATTCTCGGGGACAGTGTCCAGCCCCAGAGGCACCCAAGAGGCTGGGACATCCCTTGGGGACATGTTTTTGGGAGCTCTGGAAGGGACCCCAGCAGGAAGAGGCATGCACCGTGTAGTCTATGCCCACAGAAGTGACAGGGTACAAGATATAGGATCTCTGCCCTTTACCAGGTACACCTTACCTGTGCAGATGACAGCGGCGTCCTCTTGGTGGTCACAGTTGTGCCTTCCCCAAGGCCCAGCTGGGCAGTGCCACAGTGCAGCCTCTGTCCCACTGCACTTCACGTCATCCAGCCATATGGGGCCAATGCCAGGGCCAAAGTGAGCGCTGCGGAGGGCTTTGCGTGCGGCCCCACAGCCCAGCTGCCTGCAGACCACAGCCGCATCCAGCAGGCCCCAGCCATCATCACAGACCGTGCCCCAGCTCCCAGCATGCAGCAGCTCCACGCGCCCTGCACAGCGCCCAGGGCCCCCAGCCAGACGCAGCAGGAACGGGGCTGGGGAACAGCCAGCACCGCATTACTGCCAGCACCAACGCAGCTACTGCATTTGGAGATGGAGGCTGCATCCCTGCATCTTCCCTGCTGCATCCCTGATGTATCTTCATCCTCTTTCCATCTCCCCTCCAGCCCACCTCCATTCCTCCTCCATCCCCTCTCCACACCCACTCTATCTTTTCTCCATCTCCATTCCATTCCCTCTCCATGTCTTCTCCATCTGTCTCCAAACCCTCCATCACGTCTCTTCCACCACACCTCATCCCCATTCCCCTCACCGCCCTCCTCCATCCCTTCCCCATCCCCTCTCCTTTCACAATCCATCCCCAACCCCATCCCATCTCCATCCCATCTCCATTCCCACTCCATCCCTTCTCCTCCTACCTGTCTGCGACGTCCCTGCCATGGGCCAGCTGCTTGGTGTAGGCTGAGGGGAGGTGGTGCTGCGGGGCCGGACACTCACACGTGGCACAGCAGAAGGGGGCACCAGCAGTGACCTGGTGGGCAGCTGTTCGGGAGGGGGCTGCATGGGATCTACCCCAGTCAGCTCATCTGGGGGAGGCAGGAGAGCAGCGTGAGCCTGGTGGTGCACTGTGCACACCTGCCTTGTGCATGCACCTCACCCCATGAGCTCACATGGTCACTGCTCTCTGCATGTGTTCACATAGCATATGCACTGCACCTTTTAATGCTGCTGTGTGCAGCGCACCCTGCTGCCACCCTGTTTGCAATTTAGCTGCACATGCACTGCCTCAGGAGCACTGTGTGAGCACGGAGACTTCATACAGAGTACATAAACACTGCATTTCTCTATGCCATGTGCATGAACAAGAGCACAGTGAGGTGTGTGCACGCTATCCATGACTGCATAGAATTGCATGCATGCCAGGAGCATACTGCACTTCTCTACAGAAATGCACATACTGCATGCACACTGGGAGCACACCGCACAGCTCTGCAGAACTGCATGCACTGCAGGGAGCACACCAGGCTGCATGCACGATGCATGGGCGTGTACCTGCACAAATGACAGATGCATCCTCGCGGTGGCGGCAGTCGGTGATGCCCAATGGTGCAGCTGGGCACTGCAGCAATGCCGACTCGTTCCCCCAGCACCTCACATTGTCCATCCAGATGGGGCCGGTGCCCTCACCAAAAAACGCCCCACCAGGTGCAACCAGCGCAGCTCCACAGCCCAGCTGCCTGCAGACCACGGCCGCGTCCGGCAGCCCCCAGCCATCATCACAGACTGTGCCCCAGCACCCGGCGTGCAGCAGCTCCACGCGCCCCGCGCAGCGCCCAGGGCCCCCAGCCAGACGCAGTGGGTATGGGGCTGGGGAATAGGGCACCCACATTGCTGCTGGCACCAACTCTGCTGCTGCGTTTGGGGATGAGGCATGTGTCCCAGCTGTCTCCCTGTCTAATCCTCCCCATCCCTGCTTCTTTCCTGCAGTATCCCATCTCCACCTCCACTGCATTTGCATTCCTTCCCTCTGCACTTCTGTCCACCTATCTGCACCTATCCAACTCCATTCCCATCCCCATTTCTTCACTACTCCATCCCTTCTCCATGTCTTCTCCATCCCAGAGACTTCTACTCTCCTTCCCTTCCCATCTCCTTCCCCAGTCCATCTCTAATCCACCTCCAACCCATTCCTTATTCATCTCTCTCCATCCCCACTGCATTCCCTCTCCATACTTGCTCCCACCTGGCTCCATCCCCAGTTCCTTCCCTGATACATCCTAGCTCCTGCCTTTCCCATCTCCATCCCCTCTTCATCTTCATCCATCTCTTTTGATTCCACGTCCACCCCATCTCACTCCCTGCTTGATCCCCACTCCTTCCCTCCTACCCCCCTTCCTTTCTCCACTCCCTTCTCTATCTTTCTCCACCCCTTCTGATTCCAGCCCTTCTGATTCCAGCTCTATCCCCTCTCTATCTCAGTTCTATCCCATCTTCATCCCTATTTCTTCTGGCTCCATCCCTGCTCTTTCCATGCTCCTTTCCCACTCCATCCTTTTCCCCTTCCCTTTTCCATCCCATCCACCCCTTCTCCTTCCATGATCCTTCCCAAATCCATCTCATCCCCATCCCATCTCCATTCCAGCTCCTCCTATTCTCCTTTTCTGTTCTATTATTTTACCACCATCCATCCCACCCCTATTCCACCCCTACTCCATCCCCTCACCATCCCCACAACCATACCTGTGCATGCTGTCACCTGTGCACCCCATACCGTATGTTCCAATGCACCCCTACATCCCCATGCATGCTCTGTGCATGCTGTGAAGCCTGAAACCCTGCACCCAATCCTAATGCATGCTGTACCCATGCACTCTATAACCATGTCTGCACACCATATGCAGCCCTGCACATCATACCTGCACGAGTTACACCTGCCATACTGCATCTGTGCATCCCATACTGCACCCTGAACCCCGTGCAACGCTCACGGCCATGCAACACTCACCATCTGTTGGGGTGCTGCCAGCAGTGCCAGTGGGCTCCGTGGTTCCAGGCGACAGCAGGGGATGAGCTGTAGAGATGCACGCCATGATGGGGGGGCTCCCTCTTTTCTCCCCTCCCTCACCCTCACGCCCGCTGCCCACCCGAGCACACAACGCTGGCATCCTCCTCGTGGGCGCAGACATGGCTGTGCCACCCCCGGTGCCGGCACTGGACAAGGCGCTGCTCATCGCCGCTGCACCGCACGTGGTTGAGCCAAATGGGGCCGGAGCCTTCCCCAAACCAGGCTCCCGATGGGGCAGCCAACGCAGTCCCGCATCCCAGCTGCCTGCAGACCACCGCCGCGTCCGGCAGTCCCCAGTCGTCGTCGCAGATCGTGCCCCAGCTCCCGGCGTGCAGCAGCTCCACGCGCCCCGCACAGCGCCCGGGGCCCCCAGCCAGGCGCAGCGGGAATGAGACTGAGGAATGCCATTGCATATGGGGCCACCAGCACCACCAGGACCCACCATCACCCACCGTGTGCTCTGGGACTTGCTGGGACCCATTGGGAATCTGCTGGGACTGTCTGGGATGTGCTGAAACCCACAGGGACACCTGCGTGCTCTGGGATTCCCTCTGGGTTCCCACTCGAACTGTCGGGACCCTACGGGAATTTCTGGGACCCCCACACGCTCTGGGACCTACTGGAACCCACTGGGAACTGTTGGGACCCTCTAGGAATTTCTGGGACCCCCACACGCTCTGGGACCTACTAGAACCTACTGGGAACTGTTGGGACCCTCTAGGAATTTCTGGGACCCCCACATGCTCTGGGACCTACTGGAACCCACTGGGAACTGTTGGGACCCTCTAGGAATTTCTGGGACCCCCACATGCTCTGGGACCTACTGGAACCCACTGGGAACTGTTGGGATCCTCTAGGAATTTCTGGGACCCCCACATGCTCTGGGACCTACTGGAACCCACTGGGAACTGTTGGGACCCACTGGGAATTTCTGGGATCCCCATGTGCTCTGAGATACTTTAAGCTGACCGACTGGGACCTACTAGGAACTGTTGGGTCCTACAGGCAACTCTGCATGCTCTGGGACCCTGGGACCTGCTGGGACCCACTCTGTGCTCTGGGACCCATTGGGACTTGCTGGAATCCTGCATACTCTAGGATCAACTGGGATGCACTGGGAACTGATGGGACCCTCTGGGAATTCCTGGGACCCCCACATACTCTGGGATCTATTAAGATCAGCTGGGATCTACTGGGATCCGCTGGGAATCCTACATGCTCTGGGACCCACTGGTATCTGCTGGGACCAGTGTGTGCTCTGGGACCCCTCGGGACTTACTGGAACCTCCTGGGACCCCCACATGCTCTGTGATCTGTGGAGACTGCCTGGGACCTACTGGGAATGGCTGGTACCCTCCCATGCTCTGGGACCCACCAAGATTTATTGGGACCCACAGGGAACCGCTGGGAGCCGCTGACACCACTATGTGCACTGGGACCCATTGGGATCTACCAGTAGCGGGTGGGACTTGCTGGGACCTACTGAGATGTTCTGAAACCCATTGAGAGCCACTGGAACTCACTGGGACTTGCTGGGATCTACTTGGACCACTGAGTGCTCTGAGACATTCTGAGACCCACTGGGATCTACTGGGACTCAACGGGACCTGCTAAGACCCCTGCATGCTCAGGGACCCACTGGGACCTGCTGGGATCTATTGGAAACTGCTGGGATCTACTGGGATTTACTGGGACCCTCAGTATCTGGGACTGCTGTGTACTTTGGGATGCATTGGGATCATGTGCATACACCAGGGCCTACTGGGACCTAGGGGAACCCATCAGAGCCTACTGGGACCTACTAGAACCCATTGGGATGCAGTGGCGGTGACAGGAATGCTGTGGGGCAGGGACCCTCAACCCAGCCTTGTGCCAGTACCTGTGCCAGGGAAGGCCAGAAGCCCCACTGGAGACGAGAGAGGAAGTGAGGGGATGCTGCACCTGCCCAAGCCCCTCCAAGACCCCCAGGATGGAGCCATGGAGCCACAAGGAGCTTGGAGCCAGGGGTCCTACCCGGGGTGCAGGACTCAGCACCCGGAGTCCAGCAACCAGCAACCAGTGCCCCATTCCAGTGACCCATGACCACCGTCATCCCAGTGCCATTCCCAGTGGCCAGGACTAGTTCCATTCCCAACGCCATTCCACACACCTCATGACCAATTCCATTCCCAGTGCCCCACGACCAGTTCCACTCTCAGTGCCATTCCCAGCGCCATTCCCAGTTCCATTCCCACTGTCCCATTCCCACAGTCCCATTCCCAGTGCCCCATAACCAGTCCCATTCCACGGTCCCATTCCCAGTGCCACATGACCAATTCCATTCCCAATGCTCCACAACCACTGTCCCATGACCAGTTCCATTCCCAGTGCCATTCCCAGTGTCCTGATCTCAGTGCCATTCCCAGTTCCCCAAGACCAGATCCATTCCCAGCACTTCATGACCTGTGCTCCATGACCAGTATTCCATTCCCACTGCCCCATAACCAGTTCCCTTCCCAGTGTCCCAGTCCCAGCGTCATTCCCAGTGCTTCATGCCCACTGCCACACCCAGTGTCCCAGTCCCAGTGCCATTCCCAATGCCCCATGATGAATTCCATGCTCAGTGCACTCCCAGTGTCCCAATCCCAGCGCCATTCTCAGTGCCCCATGACCAGTTCCTTGCTCAGTGCCATTCCCAGCATCCCAATCCCAACGTCATTCCCAGTGCCATTCCCAGTGTCCCACTGTCCCATTCCCACTGCTCAGTGACCCTTGACTAGTTCCCAGTAAGCATTTTTCAGCACCCAATTCCCACTCCCATTCTCAGTTCCTCATGACCAGTGCTCAATGCCCAGTCCCCTTCCAGTGTTCAGCAATCACAGACCACTGCTACCTGCCCCACGCCCAGTGCCCATTTCCCTTCCCAGTGTTCAGTTCTCTTTCCAGTGCCCAGCACACCACAGAATACCCAGTGCCCTGCCCAGTGTACCCACAGCCTTCCCACTACCCACAGCCCAGTGTATAGCACCCAGCACAGCTTGCAGCGCCCACTGCACTGCCTGATATCCACTGCAGCACTACCACAGTACCCCATGCACTGCCCGGTGCCCCATGCAGAACCCAGACCCCTGACGTGCCCAGAAACTTTGCAGCACCCCTGCAGTGCCCAACACAGCGCAATTTCCCTGCTGCGTGTGCAGTGTCCTTGCAGTAATCCTGCAGTGCACAGCCTCATTGCATTGCCCAAGGCAGTGTCCTCCCCTTTGCAGTGCCTGTCGCAGTGCCCAGACCCTTACAATGCCCACACCATGCTCATTGCCTGTGCAGTGTCCAGTGCAGTGTCCAGCTTGCCTGCAGTGTCCACATGGTGTCTGCCGTAGAGGGCAGCCCCATGCAATGCCCGGTGCAGTGCCCACAAAACACGTAGAGCTGTGCCCATGTAATGCTCAAAGCAGTGCCCACGCTCTGCCCAGTGCACACCTCTGCAGTTCCAATTGCAGTGCCCACGCAGTAATCATGCAGTGCTCAGTGCAGTGCCTACACAGTGCTCAGAGAAGCACCCATGCAGAGCTAATGGAATGCCCATGCAATGTCTAATGCAGTGCCCATGCAGTACCCACGCGGTGTCACAGTGCCCAAAGCAGCGCTCAGAACAGTGCCCATGAAATGCACAGTGCAGCACCCGTACAGTGCAGTGCCCATGCAGTGCTCAAATATTGTCCAGCACAGTGCCATGTAGGGCCCACAGAGTGCCCATGCAGTGCCAAATGCAGTGTCCATGCAGTGCTGAGCGCAGTTCTCATGCAGTGCCCAGCACAGCGCCTTGCAGTGCTGAGAGCAATGCCCACGTAGTGCCCATGCAGTGCCCAGCACAGCACTCAGCTCCCCTTACAGTTCCCACACCGTATGCAGGATATACCCATGCCGTAGCCATGCCATCTCCATGCAGTGCCATGCAGTGCCATGCAGCATGTGCAGCGCAGAGCCGGGTGCTCACCCAGCAGCAGCAGGGTCGGGGCCATGGCGTGTGCTGGTGCAGGATGGAGGAGGCCCGGATGGAGGCGGCGAGGCCAGGGATGACTCAGTGCAGCCGCTCGCTCCCCCCCTTGGCTAGGATGGAGGGGGCTGGAGATGGGGGGCATGGGATACCCCTGCTGTGGGACATCTGGTCTGTGTGTGAGGTCCTGCTGTGGGGTCTCCTGGGCACTGCCCCCATTAACCAAGGCACAGAGGGGAGTCCTCGGAGGATGAGGGTTAATGCTGGGGGGGGGGGGGGGTTGGGTTAACACATGCAGGCACCCACGCACCCACGTGGCACTGCGGGGGGGTGGGGGGGGGAACAGGGCCGCACGTGGCCATGGAGTCAGGGCCGCGTGTGAGCGGCTGCACACGTGCATGGGAGACACTGCGGGTCTGTAGGCACACACACACATACACACACACACACGGGCAGCCATTGTGTGCTGGGGGAAGGGGGACACTGGGAGCATACTGGGAGACACTGGGAGATGTATTGGGGACAGCTGGAGCATACTGGGAGACGTGGGGAACATTCTAGGGGACACTGAGGTCTACTGGGGGCCATAATGGGGGAAACTGGAAGCATTTTTTGGGGGACTGTGAGATCAGACTGGGAGCATTCTGGAGAACAGTGGGGATATACTGGGACCACACTGGGGTATTCAGGAGCCATACTAGGGGACACTGAGGGTATACCCCCTACTGGGGTATACTGGGGGCCATACTGGGGGCACTGCGAAGAACAATGGGATCAGACTGGGGGCATTCTGGGACTATAATGGGATATACAGCGCCATACTGGGGTATGCCGATACCACGCTGAGGAAACACACGGGGACACTGGGCCACACCAGGGAACACGAGGTATACTGCGGGCACTCTGGGGCATGCTGGGATTACATTGATTTTCACTGGGAACATACCGGAGGAGGCCCAAAGGCCATACTGGGGGCATGCTGCAGGCATACTGGAAGACATGGGGGGCACACTGAGGGGCACTAGGGGCTGTACTGGTGTTTAACGGGGGCGTTCTGAAGGACAGCGGGGTCAGACGGGGCTGTAGTGGGACCACACTGGGATGTGCTGGGGCCACACTGGGGTATAGCGGTAACGCTGAGAACACGCTGAGGGTCACACGTACCGTACTGGGCTGCACCGGGTTGTACTGGGGGCATACTGGACCCAGCGGGGTCGTACAGCCGACACCAGGCGCTCCCGTTCCCCCTCCCGATGAGCAGCCGCGACCCGCCCCGCTCCCTCCCCCCTCCCAACCCGCCCACCACCTACTGCGCAAGCGTCTCCCTCTGCTTCCGCCCCTGCCGAGGACCCGCCCCCCGCGGCGGCCAATGGGATTCGCCCATTCCATCCGCGCCGGAAGGAGGAAGTGCGAGCCGGGACGCTCCGTTTATTAATCCGGCTCGGGCGGAAACCGTGCTACATCTGTTCCGCCCCCCCGGCTCCCGCACCCCATTGCTCACCGGCCCGCAGTGCTGCTCGCCCCCACGCTGTTGTGGCCATGAAGCGACTAAGGGGGTGGCCTATAAGTGGCAATGGAGTCCTGTAGGGTGCTGTGGTGGCCATGAGGTGGTTATGGGATGGGTGTGGTGGCCATGAGGTGCTGTGGTGGTCACAAGGTGGCCAAGAGGTGGATATGGCGTGGCTATGAGGTGCTAGAAGATTGGTGTGACAGCCACTGGGTGGCCGTGGGGTGCTGCAGTAGCCATAAGGTGGCTATGGGATGGGAGTGGTGGCCATGAGACGGACAAGAAATCGTCTCTGGTGGGCTGTAGGGTAGTAGGGGTGGCCATAAAATGTCCAGGAGGTGACTGTGGATTCCAGTAAGGGGTGGTCATAAATAGCTATGGGGTGTCTGTGGTGGCCATGAGATGGTAATGTGGTGCTGTGGGATGTTTGTGGTGGCCAACAGTTGGCTCTGGAGTCTTGTAGAGTGTCTGCGGTGGCCATAAGGTGCCCAGCAGGTGCTGTGGGATGTCTATAGCGATCATACAGCACCCAACAGACGGCCATTGTGGGATGGCCACAGTGGCCATAAGGTGGCCAAGGGGCAGCTGTGGGATGGACAGGAGATGCTAGGAGATGGCTGCAATGGCTACAAGGTGGCCGGTAGGGGGCCGTGGGATGTTATGGGGTGGCTGCAATGGCCCTAAGGTGTCTGTAGGATCCTTAGAGGAGAGCATGGGGTAGCTATAGTGGTTCTAGCAGCTGTGGGGGCCACGTGGAGGCCTCTGGATGGCCCTGGGGCAGCCACTGTGTCGCTGAAGAGGCCATGTGGTCACTGTGGGGGCCATAGGGTGGCCATGGGAGCCGGTGGCATGGCTGTGGGGTCTGTGTTCCTCCTCAGAAAGTATGCACAAGCTGCGCCCCTGGCAGCACCTGCACCCCCTGCACAACTGGCAGGTGGGGGGTCGGGGAGCCAGGGAGCAGCTGCACCACAGCAGGACCCTCACTAACTCCCCCCTGCCGAGGCTCCCCACGGAGGACCAGGACTTTTGGGGGTGCTGGGGTGGGCACTGGGGACTGCTCACTGGAGCCCTGCAGCACCAGGACACTGCGAAGCCCTTCAGATGTCTGCAGCACACCCAGCCCTATGGCCGGTTCTGGCCCTCCCTGCACCAGCAGCACTTCTGGGCCCGCTGGAAGCGACACCCCGGAGGGTAGAGGGGCTGATTGGGCTCCCGATGGGGGCTGTAAGTGGACTGGGGGCACCTCCAGGGTCTGGAGCTGGATGTTGGGCACCTCGGTGGTCTGGAGATGGATGTTGGGCACCTCCACAGCTTGAAGCTGGACACTGGTCACCTCAGTGGTCTGGAGATGGACATCGGGCACCTCCACAGTCTCAAGATGAACATCAGGTACCTCCATGGTCTCAAGGTGGACGCTGGGCACCTCAGTGGCTTGGAGATGGACGTTGGCCATATCAGTAGCTTGGAGGTGGATGCTGGGCACCTCTGAGGTCTCCAGATGGACACTGGCCACCTCTGTGGCTTGGAGATGGACACTGGCCACATCAGTGGCTTGGAGATTGATGTTGGGCACTTCGGTGGACTCAACATGGAGATTGGTCACCTCTGTGCCTTGGAGATGAGTGCTGGCCACATCGTTGGCTGGGAGATGAACACTGGCCATTTCAGTGGCTTGGAGATGGACGCTGGGCACCTCCGTGGTCTCAAGATGGACACTGGGCACCTCCATGGTTTCAAGATGGACATCGGGTACATCCGTGGTCTCAAGACGGACATTTGTTATGTCCGTGTTTTGGAGCTGCATGTTGGGCACCTCAGTGGCCTGCAGCTGAACACTGGTCACCTCTGTGGTCTGGAGCTGCACGTTGGGCACCTCAGTGGCCTGCAGTTGGATGCTGGTCACTTCCGACGGTTGTGGCAAGGTTTGCAGCTGAACGTTTGTCACTTCAGTGGCTTGCAGCTCAACATTGGTGACATCTGTGGACTGTGGCAGGGCTTGCAGCTGGATGTTGGTGACCTCCAAGGGATGCGGCAAGGCTTGGAGCTGGACATTGGTCACCTCACCAGCTTGCAGCTGGATGTTTGTGACCTCAGAGGGTTGTGACAGAGCTTGGAGATGGACATTTGTCGCCTCGGCAGCCTGCAGCTCAATGTTGGAGACATCCGAGGGCTGTGGAAGAGCTTGCATCTGGACATTTGCTACCTCAGTAGCTTGCATCTGGATGTTGGTGACATCTGTGGGTTGTGGCAGGGCTTGCAGCTGGACATTCGTCACCTCAGTGGCTTGGAGCTGGATGTTGGTGACATCTGTGGGTTGTGGCAGGGCTTGCAGCTGGACATTCGTCACCTCAGTGGCTTGGAGCTGGATGTTGGTGACATCTGTGGGTTGTGGCAGGGCTTGCAGCTGGACATTCGTCACCTCAGTGGCTTGGAGCTGGATGTTGGTGACATCTGTGGGTTGTGGCAGCGCCTGCAACTGGACATTTGTCACCTCACTGGCCTGCAGCCTGACAGCCGCCCCCCCCACCGCTGCCTGCCCCTGCGGGATGCCTGCTGGGTGCAGGGGCTGCTCGGGGAGGCCCTGCAGAACGAGGATACCGGTCCCCGTCCCCTGTGGGACAGCCGTGACTGCCTGTAGCCGCAATGTGGGCAGCGTGGTCCCCGTGCTGGGCACAAGCAGAAGGCTCTGCCCAGGGGTCGGGGTCTCCCCTTGGTGTTTGGGGGGAGGCTGGGAAGCTGTGGGGAGCAGGATGAGCTTCTGTGGGGCCGGTGGAGGGCTGGGGATGAGCTGGAGGCCCTGTGGCGTCTGCAGCAGCAGGAAGGTGTGGGCATCAGGAGCCGTCACCTCCAGACTGAGGGCAGCCTGCAGGACGGGGCCGTCACGCTGCGGTGCCGGGACAGGGCGAGGGGACCCTTTGGGGCCAGCTGCGTGGGTGCGGAGATGCCGCTGGAGGTAGGAGGCCATGACGAAGGCTTTGGGGCAGAGGGGACACTGGTGGGGCCGGGCACTGGAGTGCGTGCGTTGGTGGAGCTGGAGGTTGGAGGAATGGGTGAAGGTTTTGCCGCAGTGGGAACAGGCATAGGGCCGCTCGCCCGTGTGGGTGCGCTGGTGTTGGCGGAGGTTGGAGGTCTGGGTGAAGGCCTTGCCGCAGATGGGGCAGGCGTGAGGCCGCTCGCCTGTGTGCAGCTGCCGGTGGCGGCGGAGGCAGGAGGTGTTCTTGAAGGCCTTGGGGCAGTCGGGACAGGCGTAGGGCCGCTCGCCAGTGTGCAGCCGCAGGTGGTACTGGTAGTGCGAGGACCACTTGAAGGTGAGGCCGCACTCGGCACACTTGAAGGCACGCAGCCCCGTGTGCACCCGCTGGTGGATGGCGAGCAGTGAAGAGCGCTTGAAGGCCTTGGGGCACTCGGAGCACTTGTAGGGCCGTTCGCCTGTGTGGTCCCGCATGTGGTAACGCAACCCCGATGAGCCCTTGAAGGCTTTGCCACACTCGGTGCATTGGTAGGGACGCTCCGACGGTACGGAGGTCGGGGTTGGGGTCGCTGGAGGGGGATGCGGTGTTTCCGCCGAGTGACCCCGCTGGTGGCCCAGCAACCCAGCCAGCTGCCCAAAGCTCCTGTGGCACTGCGAGCACTTGTAGGGCCGTTCAGCACCGTGGCTGTGCCGGTGCCGCGCCAACCCTGAGCTGTTCTTGAAGGTCTTGCCACAGGTGGGGCAGCGATGGGTGGCCGTTGTGGTGACGTCCCCTGGTGTTGCTGGCTGTGGGTGGCTGCGTTGGTGGCCCAGCAACTGCTCCTGGCTGGGGAAAGCCAGGTGGCACTCAGCGCACTTCCACAGCATCTCCACCGCCTCCAGGAGCAGTGGTGGTGGGGACAGCTGGGACGGGGACAACGGGGATGGCAACAACGGGGATGCGGCATGGCTCTGCAGATGCTTCTGCAAGCAGGCATCTGAGACAAAGGCTTTGGGGCAAGTCGGGCACTTGTGGGACCGGGTGCTGGAGTGGGTTCGCTGATGGAGGAGGAGGTTGGAAGAATGAGTGAAGGTCTTGGAGCAATGGGAACAGGCGTAGGGCCGCTCTCCTGTGTGGGTGCGCTGGTGTTGGCGGAGGTTGGTGGATTGGGTGAAGGCCTTGCCGCAGGCGGAGCAGACGTAGGGCCGCTCGCCTGTGTGGATGTGGCGGTGGCGGCGGAGGCTGGAGGAGTTCTTGAAGGCTTTGGGGCAGGAGGTGCACTTGTAGGGCCGCTCACCCGTATGCTGCCGCAGGTGGTACTGGTAGTGCGAGGACCACTTGAAGGCCAGACCACACAGCGCACACTTGAAGGCGCGCAGCCCCGTGTGCACGCTCTGGTGGATCTGCAGCAGCGACGAGCGCTTGAAGGCTTTGGGACACTCGGAGCATTTGTAGGGCCGCTCACCTGTGTGGCTGCGCTGGTGGTAGAGCAGTGCTGAGGAGCCCTTGAAGGCTTTGGGGCACTCGGAGCACTTGTAGGGCCGTTCACCTGTGTGGGTGCGCTGGTGGTGGACGAGGCGTGAGGACCATCTGAAGGCTTTGCCACACTCCAAGCACTCGTAAGGGTGTTCCCCGGTGCTTGGCGCTGCTCGGCCCGCAGCCAGCTCCAGCTGCTGAGCACCCACCATGGCTGCTGCCCTGCAGGGACACAGGGTGTGATGGGGACATGCGCGTACATGAGACAAGGGCTGACCCCAGGGACACGACCCAGGAGAGAACCCCAGGTTAATGGGGATGCAGACAAGGACTGGTCCTGATAGAAGGACAGAGCCCAGCAGACGGGGACAAGATGCAGGGAAGGATGCAGGAGGATGGGCACAAGACCCAGGAGAGGGGGACTGACCAAGAGAGGGAGGTCCATAAGGTGAGGGAAAGAACTCAGGGGAGGACCCCAAAATAAAGGGGCTGGTGACAAAATACAAGGAAAGACTCTCCAGGAGGACAGGGACGGGATCAAGGCCTGGCCCAAATAGAAAGATGGAAGCCAAGGGATGTGGACAGGAGGCACAACTGGACACAGGAAGGAACCCAGGGGACAGAGTGGAGTGAGCACAACCAAGAGCCTGGTAGGAGACAGAGAATGAAGGCCAGGAGAGGGGGACTGGACAGAGGAGATGGGAACAAGATGCAGGAAAGGACCCCAAGGTAATACGGTTGGGGACAAGGCCAGTCCTGATAGAAGGATGGAGCCCATGCGATGGGGACAGGGCCTGCCTCTGGGATATGGGAACGAGGTCACGGATAAGGGATTGCGGACAGAGCCCCAAAGTAATGGAAATGGAGATAGAGCACGGCCACGAGGACCAACCCGTGGAGGCTGGGGATGGGGACAAGACCTGTCCCGGACACCGGGAGGATGGGAACGGAACAAGGCCTGACCTCAACAGAAGAACTGAACCCAGGAGGCAGGGACAGGGCCCAGCTGGGCTACAAGGATTGACCCTGAGGAACGGGGAGAAGGTCAGAGCCTGGGGCGGTTCACAACGGATGGGGACGGACCCACGGAAGGAGCCCGGGGGAGGAGGTCTGGGCCCGGGCCTGAATGATGGACGGAGCACAGAGGACGGGGCTGCGGCCCAGGGGGCGCGACCAGCGGTGTGGGCGTGGCCAAATGGGGGCGTGGCCTAAAGGGGGCGTGGCCACCGCTCCGCGCAGACCCCGGCCCTCCCCACTCACGCACCGCCGCGCGCCCTTTAATGCCCCGCCCCCTCCGGCGCAGGCTCCGCCGCCGCGGCCCAGCCCGACCCGGCCCCCCCCCCTCCCCGCTCCGCCGCTCACCTGGGCGGGGAGGGCCCGCGCCTCCACGGCCCGGCCCGGTCCGGCCCGGCCCCTCCCGCACGGGCCCGACCCCGCTCCGGCCCTCCCGGCGGCCCCGACGCCCGCGCCCGCCCCCGGCGGCGGCGCGCACGGCAACGGCCGCGCCGAGCGCACGGCCCCGGCCCCGCCCCCTCCGCGCAACGCCATTGGGCGCGGCCGCCGCGCGGAGCCGCCTGGGAAATAGAGTCCGGCCCGCCGCCATCTTGGAGGCTGAAGGGAAGGTGACGCCATCGCGCCGTGACGTCATCACGCCGCGACGCTGGCGCCATGACAGGTACGTGTGGAGCTGGGCGTGCATATGTAGGTGTGTATGCATGTATGCGGATGTGCGTGGCTGTATGTGTGCGTAGTTGTGTGTGTGTGCAGCTGTTAATGCAGGTGTGTGTGTGTATTTTAGGACTCCACCGCGCAGGCGCTGGTCTCAGCCGAACTACACCTCCCATCACCCCCCGCGCCTCGCACCGCTCCCAGCTTCCGGCCGCCGGCAGTGACGTCACCCACTCGGATTTTTCCCCGCGAAAACGGCGGCGGAGCGATGCAGCGGCGGATCACGTGAGCAGCGCGGCACCGGGCCCCCCCTGCCCCACATGTCCCCCCATAGTGACGCCCCTCTTCTCTTTCTTCTCCCCTCCCTCCCCACAGGTCTTTCTTCGCCCCTCCCAGGGCTGCAGATGGCGCCGTCCCGTGAGTGGGGCGGGGATGAGCTGGGGGGGATTGGGAAGTTTTTTTTTACTTGGGGGGGGATCAGGGGTGCTTCCCCGCCTCCCTCGTCGCACACCCCCGCCCTGAGCTTCCTCCCCTCGCAGAGCACATGCGCGGAAGTTGGCGCTGAGCCCCCCCGAAGAGACCCCCCAGGAACGTCGGGACCCCGATGGGAGCGCGGTGAGAGCCCCTCGTGCCTGCCCGGTTCCTCCCAGTGCCTATCAGTCCAGCCCCAGTCCTACTCTGTCACACCAATATCTCCCAGTCCTACCCAGTATCTCCCAGTGCTCCCACCGCTCTTTCTCAGTCCTCCTTCAGTCCCATCCCTGTGTCTCCCTCTCCTGTCCCATTGCTTTCCCAGTGCTTTCCAGTCTAGCTGTGGTCCTGCTCTGTCACCCAGTATCTTGCAGTGTCGCTACGGTGCCCCCCGGTCCAGCATCAGCCTCATTCTTGTTCCTCCCAGTCCTGTGCTGGTGATCCCTGTCCCCTCCCAGCCCTATCACTGTCCCCTCTTAATGCTCCATATTTGCCCACAGGATCCCACATCCCCTGGCAGCAGCTCTGCTCCTGTACCCCCCACGTCCCCTCGTGCCCCCTGCTGTCCTCCATCCCCACAGCAGCCAGGGGACAGGGATGGAGACACTGATGGGGATAGGGACAGTGCCCCCCCCGCATCCAAGCGCTGCCGTCAGTCACCCAGCAACCAGGACAAGGAACCTCCCCATCCCCACAAAGCTCCGGCCTCCAACAGGTGGATGACAGTGTTGGTGGGATGACACAGGGGTCCCTGGTGGTGCCACCACTGTGTCCTCCTGTTGTTGTCCCCGCAGCTGTATACCAGTGGAGCCATCCCAGTACGACCCCAGCAGGAGTGGGTACCACCCAGTGCAGGATGCTTGCTGGGGGCATGGACACAGGTGGGGGCTTTGGGGAGGAACCTCAAGTGGGAATGGTGGAGGATGTGGGGTGGGTTTTGAGGGGGGGGTTCGTCACAGGTCAGGATGTGGGGTGATGAGAGATGTGGGATCATAGGGGATTAGGAGGGACACTGGGGTGCAACATAGGGTTGTTCGTAATAGGATGGGACCTAGGGTAGGAAATGAGGTTACTGGGGAATGTGGGGTGGTTCGAGGGGGGGAGATGGAAGATGTGGGGTAATTGTGGGTGCTGGGAGCCTTGGGAGGATCATGGGGGATGTTGGGGTCACAGGGTGTGATGTGTGATGGTGGGGAACATTGGGTCGTGGAAGGTCGTTCAGATGGGACTTAGGTTGATGGGATGACGGGGAACTTTGGGATGGGATATGGGGCCAGGGGGCTTTGGTGGGGGGACATCGAGGTGGGACATGGAGTCATGTGGGGTAATAAGGGACTCATGTGACATTGGGGGTGATAGGGTCACAGGGTGGGACGTGCAGTGATGGGGGATATTGGGTCATGGGAGACATCAGGATGTGACGTGGGGGACGTTGGAGTAGGGTGTGGGCTTTTGGTGGGGTGATAGGGGACAGTGGGGTGACTCATGGTTGGGAATGATGGAGGACATAGTGGGGGCATTGGGATCGTGATGAGTGATGGGGGGACAGGGTGTGGGGGTTGGGGCGGATCTAGAGGTCACAACCCCTCCCCTTCAGTGTCCCCTACCTGGCGGTGGCTCGCACCTTTGAGCGCATCGAGGAGGCCTCATCCCGGTAAGACCCCACTTTTTTTTTTTAATCTGGGAAGGCACAGCCCCATCTTTCCCCAAACCTCAACATTGACCCCATACCCAAAAGGCCAATGATTTTGGGTCTGTGGGATGATCTCATTTCCTCCTTCTATCCCAAACCCTGATAATTTTGGGTTGAGACAATGACCCCAGCTCCCCCCTACCCCAAACCCAAATAATCTACACTACCCCAAACCCCAGTGATTTTGGGTTGGGTTGGGTTAAGAATGACCTCATCTGCACCTAATCCTAACATTGACTCCTCACCCTAGTGTTTTTAGATGGGGAGGATGACCCCATTTCACCTTCACTCCAAACCCCAATAAGTTTAGGTTGGGGGGCACGACACCTTCTCCACTCCTACCACAAACTACAAAGGTCTTGGGATTTATGGAGACAGCTTCGTTTCCCCTCCATCCCCAACCCTTACCCCAAACCCCAACGATTTGAGTTTTGGTGTCCCCGCCCTCAATCCCCTCTCTAGGCTGAAGATCATTGAAATCCTCACCAACTTCCTGCGCTCTGTGGTGGCCCTGTCCCCCTCCGAGCTGCTCCCCTGCCTTCTTTTGTGCCTCAACCGTCCTGGAGCTGCCTCTGAGGGGCTGGAGCTGGGCATCGGCGAGACCCTGCTGACCCGTGCCCTCGCTCAGGCCACTGGTAGGACCCAGGGGTGGGGATGCCCAACGGCGTTGACAATGGCAAAGGTGCTGATGATGGCACTGACATCCCCCACAGGCCGCCAGCTGGCTCAGATTCGCAGTGAAGCACAGGACAAAGGGGACTTGGGGTTGGTGGCCGAAAGCAGCCGCTGCACCCAACGCACGGTGGTGCCACCGGCCCCGCTGAGCGCCAGCGGTGTCCTTGGCAAGCTGCGGGAGATGGCCGCCATGTCAGGCAATGCAGTGAGTTTGGGGACCACGCGGGTGGCACTTGTCACCTTCCTTTTGTGCCGACGTTGCTGTGTTTTTTGCAGTCTGCTAGCAAGAAGATTGACATCATCAAGGGGCTGTTTGTTGCCTGCCGGCACTCGGAGGCACGATACCTCGTCCGGTGAGGACAAGAAGGGGCCATCGGAGTGCTGTAGGATCACCTGATAGTGACGTAGTGACACTGGTGTCCCTTGGTGTCCCCTAATGCAGGTCGCTCAGTGGGAAGCTACGCATTGGGCTGGCCGAGCAGTCGGTGCTCACTGCGCTGGCACACGCCGTTGCTCTCACCCCACCAGGGCAAGGTGAGAGCCGTGAGGATGCTGGGGGCGGTGTGGGGATATGGGGTGGTGACGCTGGGGCTGTGTCGTGTGGCAGAGTGGCCGCTGGCTGTGGTGGATGCTGGGCAGAGCATGGCACCTGATGCACGCAGAACTTGGTTGGAGGAGCAGAGCCGCATCCTCAAGCAGACTTTCTGGTGAGGCCTGTGCCCTGTGGATTCCTGTAGGTCCCCCTTAGGTCCCCTGGGTCCTCTTTGTTTATTTGGGGTACCTGCTCTTTGGATAGGCTGTTCTCCTGAGATTCCCATCCTCTTGTGTCACCTGGAGTCTCTTTTGATTCTTTTGGGGTCCCTGTTCCTTCTCCTGGAGTCCCTTTTTGTCCCCCAACATCCTCCTTTTGCTCATCTCAGTTGCCTTTATATCCCCCTTTCTCTGCATGCTTCCCCTTGATCCTTGTTTCTTAAGTGTCTCGGCGCTCTTGGTGTCCACATTGGTACCTTTTAGTTTTATGGAGTCCCTGCTCCTTGTGGGTGGTGCTGGGTGATGTTACCAACTCACTGAACTCCCTGGGTCTAATAACCACCCCATGAGCTCATTAGAGCCAAGTCATCTCCTATCTTGGCAACATGTTAACAGAGGAGGGTGCTAGGTCTGTCCCCTTGTCCTGCAGTGAACTGCCAGACTATGCTGCCATTGTCCCAGTGCTGCTGGAGCACGGCCTGGAGCAGCTCCCCAAGCACTGCGGCATCACTCCAGGTACCATGAGGCCAGAGGTGGGTGGTCCCAGCCCCATCCTGTCCCCATCATCCTCAATATGTCCCCTTTTGTCCCCAGGTGTTCCCTTGAAGCCCATGCTGGCCCAACCTGCTCGCTGTGTCAGTGAGCTGCTGAAGCGCTTTGAGGAGGCTGCATTCACCTGCGAGTACAAATATGATGGAGAACGAACCCAGGTAGAGTTTTGGGAGAGTCACAGGGTACCCTTTCACCCTTTGTCACCCTCCTGTCACCTCTTTGTCCACCCCTAGATCCATGTCCTGGATAGTGGGGCCGTCTTCATCTACAGCCGCAACCAGGAGAACACAACAGCCAAATACCCTGACCTCGTCGAGCGCATCCCCAAGGCAAGCTGGGGTCTCCAGGGGCAGTGTGAGGGTACCAAGGAAAACATGGGGGACTCGGGGACAGTGGTGATGCGGTACTGAGCTCTGGGATTGCCTCAAAGGTGCTGAAGCCCGGTGTGCGCTCATGCATCCTGGATGCAGAAGCAGTGGCTTGGGACAAGGTCACCAAGCAGCTGCAGCCCTTCCAGGTGCTGATGACGAGGAAGAGGAAGGTGAGAGCAGGCTTGGGGACATGAGGGGCAGCAGCTGGACAGTGCAGTGACACCCTCTTTGTGTTCCATGCCTCTGCAGGATGTGGATGCTGCTGCCATTAAGGTGCAAG